AGTAGTAGTAGTATGTAGTAGTAGTAGTAGTAGTAGTAGTAGTAGTAGTAGTAGTAGTAGTAGTAGTAGTAGTAGTAGTAGTAGTAGTAGTAGTAGTAGTAGTGGTAGTAGTAGTAGTAGTAGTAGTAGTAGACTTAGTAGTAGTCGTAGTAGTAGTAGTAGTAGTAGTAGTAGCAGTAGTAGTAGTAGTGGTAGTAGTAGTAGTAAAAGTAGTAGTAGTAGTGGTGGTGGTAGTAGCGCCAGAACCGCCGACGCCACGCCGTAAGTGGAGCAGCAGCAGAAGCAGGCAGCAAGTCGCCGAGACAGCAGCAAAAGCAAGCAGGCACGGAGATGAGGGCGGGGCACTGGGGAGTTCTTTACATCTACATCAATATCTACACCTACATCTACATCTAGACCTACATCTACATCTAGCCATCTGAACCCACCAAGAACCCCCCTTTCACATATAATAATATGAATTTATATAATGATATCCTACGATTTACGAACTCCAAGTTTGAGGCCTCAGATTTGGAAGACTCTTTGGGCTCAACTCCCTCGCGTCACCAACGACAACACCCATTACTCAAACAGCATCCTTCTCCAACACAACACCCGATAGTCAACAAGCTCCCTCCCCAAGCTGAACTTGAATATAACCTTCTACTCAACTCCCTCCGTCTCCAACAAAACACCCAGTACTCAACAGCCTCCTTCTCCAACACAACACCCCATACTCAACAGGCTCCCTCCCCAAGCTGAACTTGAAAATAACCTTCTACTCAACTCCCTCCGTCTCCAACAAAACACCCAGTACTCAACAGCCTCCTTCTCCAACACAACACCAGATACTCAACAGGCTCTCTCCCCAAGCTAAACTTGAAAATAAACCTTCTACTCAACTCCCCCCGTCTCCAACACAACACCCGATACTCAACAGCCTCCTGCGCCAACACAACACCCGATACTCCACAGGTTCCCTCCCCAAGCTGAACTTGAAAATAACCTTCTACTCAACTCCCCCCGTCTCCAACACAAAACCCAATACTCAACAACCTCCCTCTCCAACACAACACCAGATACTCAACAGGCTCCCTCCCCAAGCTGAACTTGAAAATAACCTTCGCATGATTATATATGGAAAATGTAATTGATTCCTACGGTTTTCTGACTCTACCTTTGAGTCTGATCCTTTTTTTGGAAGACTTTTTTGGCCGACTCCCTCCGTCCCACCAACAGCAACACCCAGTACATCGAACAGCCCCTACTCCAACACAACATCCCGATACTCCACAAGCTCCCTCCCCACTGAACTTGACAGGAACCTCTACCTCACCCCTCGACACACAAACACGCGAATGAAAAAACAGCCATGTAACTCCAACACCCTCCTTCTCTCCAACACACAATACCCATACCAACGGGCTCCCTCCCCAAGCTGAACTTGAAAATAACCGTCTACTCAACTCCCTCCGTCTCCAACACAACACCCAGTACTCAACAGCCTCCTTCTCCAACACAACACCAGATACTCAACAGGCTCCCTCCCCAAGCTGAACTTGAAAATAACCTTCTACTCAACTCCCTCCGTCTCCAACACAACACCCAGTACTCAACAGCCTCCTTCTCCAACACAACACCCGATACTCAACAGGCTCCCTCCGCCTCCAACACACACACACACACACAATCTACTCAACTCCCTCCGTCTCCAACACAACACCCAGTACTCAACAGCCTCCTTCTCCAACACAACACCAGATACTCAACAGGCTCCCTCCCCAAGCTGAACTTGAAAATAACCTTCTACTCAACTCCCTCCGTCTCCAACACAACACCCAGTACTCAACAGCCTCCTTCTCCAACACAACACCCGATACTCAACAGGCTCCCTCCGCCTCCAACACACACACACACACACAAGTACTCCAAATCCAACCACCACAACACGACGCGACACCCGAAACTACAACCGCACCCCGCCCCCCTTTTTTTCTTGGCTTCTTCCAAGAGAACAGGGGGGTTCATGGTGGGTGCTGAGGCCTACATCTAGACCTAGCAGCAAAAGTGGATGCTATGCTGTGGTATGCTATGTTCTGCTCTACTATGCTATGCTATGCTATGCTATGCTGCGCAATGCTATGCTGGGCTAGGCTAGGCTAGGCTAGGCTACGCTGTGCTATGCTATGTTATGCTATGCTGCGCTATGCTATGCTGCGCTATGCTATGCTATGATATGCTATGCTATGCTTTTGCTGTGCCTTCGCTTTTGCCTTCATGTTTGCCTTTGCTTTTGCTGTTGCTTGGCACCCAGGGAGCGCAACTGGGGGAACCGCGCGTTTGCTTTTACCTTTGCTGTTGCTTTTGCTTGCCCGGCCCCTTTTTAAGCTAAGAAAGTAAGAACCCTTCTAGGCAGAGCCTAGGTAGGGAAAAAACGAAAAGCAAAAAAAACGGAGAGAGGGGGAGAAACAAAAAAAACTCCGCCCTTGCAGCTTAACAACATGCTCAAGACGAACAAGCTTGACAAGGCACAGCCATCCATCCGCGCATCTGCTGCATACGCTCAACTGTCTGGCACTCATACTGAAAGATGTCCTGGACGAGGGCCCTACGTCGAAGAACAGCCGTCCGCCATCACTGTAACGGCTGGAAGCGTTTAAGACGAATGAGTGCGGCGCCAAAGCGAACCCCATTTTGAAAACGGCCAGCCCTTTTGCCCTGAAACGGCTTCAAGCTTGCATGACGAATGGGCGTGGCGCGAAGGCGACAACGCCATTGCATAAACGGCCCAACCTCAATTCTTGAAAACACTGCAAGCTTGTGTGGCACAAGTTCGCGGCGCTAAGGCGAGAGCCCCAGTTTGAAAAGGAACCGCCCCCCATGCTTGAAACATACTGCAAACTTGTATGACAGTTCGAGAATAGCCAGCCTTACGTCTCGCCTTACCGACAAGTCCGGGGGTGCGACAAGGAGATGTATTCATAACCAACATGTGTAAGGGGATCGAGATTCGAAGTTAGAGGATCGAGACGTTCGGACGTTTTTCGCCCTGTCGCAGATGGATCCACCTCGAAATTCTGGCCAGGATGCAGTGTTGGAGATCTCTACGGCGGGATCGTGAGGCATATTTCGATGCGGATAGCCGACGAACAACGCAGCGCGTGCCTCCTCTTGGCGACACGCCAGGGACCTGGCCAATACGACCCTGCCGAAACGCTCCACGCCGACAACACACACGCGTTGGACTGCAGCGTCCCGCGAGCACACGTCGAAACATCGATACGCAACTGATATATCCCACAAGTGGAATCTTGAGAAGGAGAGGAGGAGGAGGAGGAGGAGGAGGAGGAGGAGGAGGAGGAAGAGGCAGAGGAAGAGGAGGCGGAGGGGGAGGAACAGGAGGAGGAGACCTGCCGCACCCAGAGAAAACTCGCCAGGGGTGAACCTGGAAGCATGGAGGCAGCACGCATCTCCATCCAACATTGAAAATCCATCGTGCACCAAGGCTCGAGAGACAAACAAGCCGGCGATGTGCCTAACATCTAACGAATTTCCCAAGCATCTGAATGCGGCCTTACCGCATGTGAAAACGGCCACGCTGTCAGCGCAGGCGGCTGGTAAGTCATGACAGTACGGGCTCGTGGCGATTCCCTGGTCAGGGAGTGGCTGGCGAAACCGGGTGGCCCACCACCAACCGCCTTCGCGTGCACTGGCGCGAGCGCTACTTCCTGCCCGTCGCCGCCGGCAGGAGAGGGGAACGAAGAGAAGCGGAAGAAGGAAAAACCAAGGAAAATGAAGAGAACACCGAGGCCCGAGGATGGGGAATCTAGGCCGAAAGTGGGCGTCATTATTTTTGTTGAAAATATTGCGCCTGTTGTTGGGCCTCTTCACGGCCCGATCTACGCGCACCCAAAAAAGAAACCAAACATGTAGACAGGAGGAAAAGCTACCTCTGGTGCGCCCGGAGGCCGCTGCTTCGAACGCCATCCCCCCGCAGGTGGGCCAAACGCTCAAGAAGGCAGGGGACCACCACCCCCAACGACGAGGGGGCGGAAAAGAGGAACGAAGCCAGGACAAGGGGGGAGCAGGAGGGGAAGAAGGGAGCGGGGAGAAGAAGTGAGCGGTCTGCTGCGCTCCAGGGCGCGGGGCCCACGGAGGGGAGGCAAACGGGTGGCGCCAACTGGTTGCCAGCCAGCAAGGACCGGACAAATCGTGCCCCCTAGCAAACATGAGACAGACAGCGGCGACGGAGACGACGGCATGTACCAGTGGATTTCCTAAGCTGTGGTTTCACGAATCGCCCTGCGGGAAAAGGACGAGGAGGAAGAGGAAGAGGAAGAGAAGGAGGAGAAAGAGACGGAAACGGAACACAATCGTCGAAGTTTGAAGACACTGCAGCAGCCCCTCAGGCGAGCCCCGCCGCCGAAACAGCAAGGGCAAAAAATCCAGAAAAAAACGAAACAGACGCACTGCAAACGCCGCCCACAGGCATGCAACAGCAGGTGCTACATCACGCATAAGATAACATGATGTAAATATATACATACATATATATATACATACATACATACATACATACATACATACATACATACACACATACACATACACATACATACATACATACATACATACATACGTACGTACATACATACATACATACATACATACATACATACATACATAAATACATGCATATGAATATATAAATATATATACATTAATATTGCGGAGAGGGGCCGCGTGGCTTGACCTTACGCGTTTTTTACGCGGCACTGCGCGGGCATTTACGCAGGGTGCTGTTCTCAAGACGGCTGTGCCCGTAGTTAGTGATAGGGCTACGACACCTCAGGAACGGCCGTGTGACCTGACCTTACGCGATTCTTACGCGGCGTTACGCAAGCATTCGCGCAGGGTTCTGCTCTCAGGACGATGCCCTTTCCTCTTTTTATACAAGGGCAAAGACATATCTTCTGTAATGCTGCTGCCCAGGGACGAAGTGCAGGTCCCATGGCGGCTCACAAGAAATGTGACAGATCGCCCGGCGGGTCCCACACCCAGCCTTGGTCGTAGAGGTCGTCCGTACACCCTCGACTGGCCTTGTCCACCGGGTTGTCGCGGGCATTGACATACTCGACCCACAAATGCAGTCGTCGCCGGTGGACAATCTTCCACGTGGCGTGCATCACGTTGTTCAGATCTGCGTTCACGCTGTTGCCTTTGATCAGCGCGTGCATGGCGTCCGTGTTGTCTATGAAGTGGATACAGAGTCGATGCTCCAGGCCTGGCCACGTGGCTAAGGCAAGCAGTGGCCCCACACCCTCGATTGGAGCTATGGTGTTGGAGGCATGCTGTGCCCACTTCGCCAGCACGTTATCTGGGACCCTCGTCGCCGTGATGCGGGGGCGTTCGACTGGCTCTGCTGGTTGCCACATTGCCACGGCGACGTTGCCCGAACCCTCACCGTCGCTGATGGCGACGACCAGGGGCAAGCAGGATATGTCGCACAGAACACGGCGCCGATTTTCAAGGACGAGTGCTTCTTCGAGCCACCTGAACATGGCGAGCATGGCGCTGTTGACTCCGAAGAAGTTTCCGCTCCTCTGACGGGCTCGCAGCGGCGCCAGCACTGCTGCTCCACACCGGCCCCAGAAGCTCGAGCGCACCCAGTTGAACGAGCCGTGCAGCGTCGAGGCGTCTGCTGCTGTCGCCCTCCCTGTAGCTCGGTGGGCGCGGATCTGAGATAGCAGCTTGTCAATTTTGGCCTCGCAGAGCCAAACTGTCGCCTCAAGGCCCGACCGGTGCTCCACGCCAAGTAGGCGAAGGTGCTCGCTGGGTGGTTTGCTCTTGCTTTTGTCGCACCTCCAGCCGAGAAGGTCCAGTATCTCCAACACGATAGCATGGGAAAGTTTGGCGGCATGTTCCGGTTCGACGTCCCACATGTCATCAGAGTAATGGCAAAGCAAAATGCCCAAGCACACTCTCACGAAATAACACATGAAATGTGGATGTTCGACGAAGTTCGTCTGGGCAGCTTTGTTGCCGAAAGTCCCTCCCAGCGGCCTCACCCACTGGACCCGCTCAAATTGGGGATTCCACACCAGTTCGTAATGGCATGGAGCACGTCCTGGCCATAGCGGGTCTTGCCGGAACGCCATCTCCCAGTCGATGCGGAAGCCTTGGAGGCGCACGTTGTTGGGGAGGGCATCTCTGAGGATGCGCACCACCGCGTGTGCCGATGATAAATCTCCAGGAGAATACTTCTCGCACAGCGTGACGGCGTCGTTTCCCCCAGATACTTTCCAATCAGAAATGTTACGACACTTCCACGCGCCGTCCTCCTTGAGCTCCCACTTGGGCCACCAGGGAGTCAGGCATGTCCTATCCAGGTCAAGTTCTGCAAGCTCGCCTGGCCCTTCGCAGCACCCCATCGAAAGCTCAGCTAGGGTTTTTTGTTCCCCACGCCTTCTGGTCGAGCGAAGTGTCCCCCGAACTTCGCATGCCTCGGATCGCGCGTTCGTTCCGCTCTCGCGGACACGCAATCCAATCTTCGATCGTAATCGCGCCCCTGTTGTGGTCCTCGGTGAACACGCCGCTCGGCGGGATCTCTCCCAAGCAAGGCTTGCCGCGCATCAGCCAGGCGCCGTAATCAGTGCCGCTGTACTTGGGGTGATCCACCATCCACTCCAGGAGGGGTAAATGCAGGTGGCCGATTACTTTGTGGACGTCGGGGTGTAGATTTTCGGCATACTGCTCTCTGATGCCTGTCAGGCGCCAAGCAGCATCACGGACGGGCTGCATCTGCGTCTCTCGCCAGCTGTGTAAATCATCCAGGTGGTCCAACATACTGCTGGCGGCCTGTATCCACGCGGCAGGCATCGGCGGGGGAGCAACAGCCAGGTGCTGCAGACGAGGCAATTGCTCGAGGAACGCCTCGGGCCCGCATCCTTGCTGGATAAGCGGCTCGAAGCATCTGCCACGCGGCTGCTCGCCAAGCGCCAGCGCGCGCCCGATCCGGGCCCTCAGTCGGCGCCTGCTGGGCTGCTCAACGACGCCTGCCTGTGGGCTGTCGCTGACCGTTCCCTGCAAGCGGGCCCCGGCACCTCGCGCGGAATGTTTCCGGCCTGGGTGATCACCGAGGCTGTCATTAGACTCCACGCATGGGCTGGGCAAGTCTGGCCCGCCCGCCGCGGCCCCACTGTAGTGTCTGGGGCCGGGCTCCGCAGTTCACTGCGGGCCCGCGCGGTGGTTTTTGGCCCTGCAGTGTTTGGCGCCGCACCCAGGGTAGTCACACTCGTGTGAGTCTGGGCACGCCGCGCCCTTGCGGCAGCCCGTGGCCTTGTTGTAGAACGGGCACCGGGCCTGCCCGGTCTTCTTGTTCGTGCGCTCCAGTCCCGGCCAGTTCTCCTTGGTGAAGGCTGGGGGCTGGCTGGCCCTGGCGGCGCCGCCTGGCCTTGAAGCCTTGCGCGGCTGCTCGTCTCGGGGGGTCTGGGCGCCCTGGCCGCGGCTGCGGGCGCGCCCTCGCGGTTGCGACTCGCTCCTGGGCCGCTTCCTGTCCCCGGCGTCTGAGAACAGGTAGGCGCTCTGGCCGCGGTGGTGGGCAACCACGTCCTTGAAAGTCGTGAACTCCCTCCGCTGCCAACTCAACATCCACTTGGTGCGCATGCGGAAGTCGGCCTTGAGGAAATCGCGCACGATCTCCGGCGACCACTTGACGTCCATGATCTTCTCCATGAGCCACTGGTGGCACTCGAGCAGGACGGTGAGCGACGCGTTCTCGAACTCGGGGGCGGCCGCCTGGTTGTAGGCGATCATCAGCTGGAAGTGCCGCTCCCGGAACTTGGTCAAGCCCTGAACCGGCGCGCAGGCGCTCTCGGCTCGGGCCTGCACCCCGCCCTGCTTGGAGAAGAACATCTTGAACAGCGGGTCGACCTCCTACTCGAGGATGCTCTCGACGTCCACCTCGAGGCGGGGGACGAAGTCCGTGTGTTTCTCGCACATCCGCTTGAGCTTGCCCATGAGCCCGTTGGCCGGGAGCCACTGCGCAGGCCAGACGAAGTGGTAGTACTCCTTTACCTGCGCATCCAAGCGTTCGCGCTGCTCTGCGCCCAGGGATATGTCCTTCTCGGCGCTGTCGCCTTTGGCTGCGGCCTCCAGCTTGGCCTTCGTCTCGGCCCCCGCCTGCCGCCACGCCGACTTCGACGGCTGGCACGCGATGCTGTCGTTGGGGTCTTATCCCGCTGGTTGGCCGACGACTTGCGCGACGTTGGACTTTGAATCCGCCAAGTCGGCGAAGGCGCCGAGCTTGACGATGTTCTTGTCCACGAGAAACTTGGCGACGTTCTCGGGGACGTCGTTGTCCGCCAGCACGACGCGCAGCTCGGTGGACAAGGCCGTGGCGACCTCTGCGCTGTAGGAGACCGGCATCGCCCCAGTGGGGGGGGGCAGACGGGGCCCTGGCTGCAGCTCGCGGCGTTCGCTCTTGAGCCTGTGCTGTGTGACGCTTGCCCATGCCCCTCCCTGCTGCCGTTGCGTGTTGGACGCACTGGCCGGGCCTGCCCGGCGCACAATTACTGCCTCAACGACACACTGGAGGGAAAGCACGCACAACAACATATCGAGCGCCAGTCGCCCCTCGCACCGCCGGCGGAAACTCTCATCGGGAGGACGGATCGACGCTGAAGGTCGCTGCTGCTCGGGAAGAGGGAGCATCCCGGTCAGCTTTAAGATCTGCGTCCAGCTGCGGCAACAGTGCGCCTCAGGGAGGCACAAACAAGCCAGGCTCCAGCCGGGCTCCTCCCTTCACCTTTTGTTACATTGCGAGCAGCGGTTCCCCCCCGTGGCGCTGGCGAGTATCCGTGCGAACCCTCGCTGAAAGCTACTGTTGCCCCTGCGAGGGAGCATGTCTCTGATCAGTTTCAAAGTCTGCGTCCAGCCGTGGCAACAAGGCGCCTCTGGGAGGCAAAGCAAGCCAGGCATGATGCAGATGTTTTTTTTTCTCTCTCTCTCTCTCTCTCTATCTCTCTCTCTCTCTCTCTCTCTCTCTCTCTCTCTCTCTCTCTCTCTCTCTCTCTCTCTCTCTCTCTCTCTCTCTCTCTCTCTCTCTCTTTTTTCTCATTTCGAATGTCATATTGCACGAGATGACTCCGTTTTTTTTCTCTCCCTTCTCGATCGCCGCCTGGTCATCGCCACGCGGGCGCGCTGGATCTTGGCTGCGTGGAATCATGGGTCTGGCTGCGCTGTCGTGCTCGACCCAGACGAGCTCCTGGAAGAGCTGCCGCTGCTGGATCCGGCACTGCTGCGCGCTGGGCGCGGTGCGCCCAAGTCTGCCCATTCAGGTGTCTCCACGCTGCTGGTCCTGAAACACCTGTCGCAGCGCGGGTACAGATGCAAATTTGACTGGTCCTCCGCCGCCTGTTCGCAATGAGGTAAGGTTGGATCCCGTACCTGTTTGCACGGCGGGCCCTTGTGCAGCATGCCTGTCTTGTGGTTGATCAGCACGCGGACCGGCGGCAGCTCTGGCGGTTGCGGAGCCTGGGCTCCGGGTGCGTGAGCCGCTGCCCGCTGCTTTGCTGCGTGCGCTCTCGCCCTTAGCTCTGTCGCCACCGCGTCTACCGTCGGCAACTCGTAGTCGCCGCCTGGGCGGAGGCCGCCCCGAAGTTTTTGCCGCGCTCGTTCCTTTGCAGCAAGCTCGGCGCAGCAGCGGCTCTGGTCGTAGCGGATGGGCATGCCGCTCGCGGGGCCCCATCGGCCCATGCTGCGCCTCTCTTCGAGAGCGAAGCCGGCCTGGCCTGCTATGCCGCAAATGAAGAAACGTGGGCTGTGCAGCGTGTAGTGGGCTGTGTGCCCTGCCAGGCGGTGCACGGCTGCCATCGCCATCAGGCAGTTGGCGTAGCTACCGCGGCGCACAGGGGCGACGAACTCCAAGGCACCGTTCGCTAACGCCATCGACGGCCAGAGCCAGTCCCTCGCGGCGTCTGCGCTTTGCGGGAGGATCCCGTTGGCATGGCTGAAGAAACGCTTGCCCCAGTCAACGCTGGTCCAAGTCACCCGCAAAGCGGCCCAGGGCACCAGCGCAGGTTTGCCTTTCGAGCGCCAGCACACAGCGTGCAGCGCGTCACGCCCGAGGCTGACGCCCGCGCTCCTGTCCAGGTCGCTGAACCGCAGGCACGCGAAGGCCAGACACAACAAGAACAGGATGGTGTAGGTGGTCGCGCCCTGGTCGTCTTCGCGCGCGCTCAGCAGGGCTAGCAGGTCCACCACGGTCTGGTATGTGTACGGCGTCGCCTGTAAGCGGGCTGCGCTTGCATCTCTAGATGACATTTTGGCAACGGCCTGCACGGCTGCGTCTTGCAGCGCCCACGGGAGCACCAAGGCAGTGCGCACGCAGTCCAAGCCGTTTAGGAGCATGCGCGGGACGCTGTTCCGACCGACGCTTGAATCTCGTAGAAAATATGTTATTCCTAGCGGCGTGAGTTTCCAGGGGTCTAGGCCTTTGCTTTCAGACCAGCTCCTGAGGCGGCAGACGGCCCGAATGTGCCCCATAAGTGTAGAAGGAACTTTGGCCTTTTGTAGAAACAACATCCTTAGTAGGCTGCGTTGCTCGGCCTCTGGAAGCACGCTTTCTTTGATCTGCCGTAATCTGGCTGGCGCCATGCCGATGTCGTCGGCTAGGGCAAAAGCGAGCTGCAGCGCGTTTTCCAGCTTGCTCTTTTCCACGTCTGCTGCGGAAGCAGAGAACGGCACCGCAGCTGGAATGGCTCGGCGCCGCTTGCCTGGTCTCGGAAGCACGGTGCTTGTTTCCGCCCATTTGGTCGTTCTCGTCGTGGGAGTTTCCCTTGGGGGCGGAGAGTGTTTCCGCGCTATGTATGCGATCTGGGCCAAGGCGGCTACGATGCTGTCGGCCTCGGCGCTGGCTGTTTGCCACAGCTCTGACGCGTGCACGTGCAGCTCCTCGTCGAGGAGGCCTGTCGCTGCAGTCATGAAGTCCTCCTCGCTGTCCCAGAAAAAACGGTTGCCGTCAGGATGCTGCACATGTGTAGCGCCGTAGCCATGCGGGCAACAGTGTTCGGGTGAGTTCCCCGCTTTGCAGCCACAGCGTGTACCACCCGACACATGCGAGGCGATAGTGCTCCCAGGCACTCAGGCGCATCCTCGCTCGCCAGTGTCGTAGGGGCGGCGCTGCGGGCGGTGGCGGGCAGAAAGCCGCCGTGCTCGCTAGAGGCTCGAGGCCTTGAGGCTCGCGTTCGAGCCACGCCTGAGCACAAAATAGCTACGGAAAGGCAGCGGGTGCAGCCGGCCAGCCGGCACTGTCTGTCATTACAGCGGAGCCTCGGATCTCGTCTGCCTGACCCTACGCGGTTGCTTACACATCCCCAGCGGGCATTCGCGCGAGGGCGCGGGGCTCGCGCTGCCTGGCAGGGGGCATCTAAGATCCTTGCGTAAAGCTCCCCCCCGGCCTCTCGAAGATTCATCCTTCCCAAGCCGCCCCCATAGTGGTAGGGTCACGAATCTTGCGGAGAGGGGCCGCGTGGCTTGCCCTTACGCGTTTTTTTACGCGGCACTGCGCGGGCATTTACGCAGGGTGCTGTTCTCAAGACGGCTGTGCCCGTAGTTAGTGATAAGGCTACGACGCCTCAGGAACGGCCGCGTGACCTGACCTCACGCGATTCTTACGCGGCGTTACGCAAGCATTCGCGCAGGGTTCTGCTCTCAGGACGATGCCCGTTCCTCTTTTTATACAAGGGCAAAGACATATCTTCTGTCGTGCTGCTGCCCAGGGACGAAGTGCAGGTCCCAAGTTACAGCCCACTCACTTCGTCCCAAGTTCGCTCCTGTGAGTGGGGCGGGCCACATTGTGGTCCTGTTTCCCCTCTCCCCCCGGGTCACATAGCGGCCCCATGGTGGGGGTGGGCCACATCATGGTCCCAGTGGGGCATGCTGATTTCATTCTCCCTGCCAAAGCCACATAGTGGTCCCCCGGCGGGTTGGGCCACATCGTGGTCCCAGTGTCCGGGCCACATAGTGGTCCCGTGCGGGTTGGGCGAAGTAGTCGTGGTCCCCGTGGTTTTCCTTGGTGTGCCGTTTTGGCTGGTGGGTCACATCGCGATCCCATGGTGTGCCGTTTTGGCTGGTGGGTCGCATCGCGATCCCATGGTGCGCCGTTTTGGCTGGTGGGTCGCATCGCGATCCCACGGCTCGAGGCCTTTTGGCTCGCGTTCGAGCCACGCCTGAGCACAAATAGCTACGGAAAGGCAGCGGGTGCAGCCGGCCAGCCGGCACTGTCTGTCATTACAGTGGAGCCTCGGATCTCGTCTGCCTGACCCTACGCGGTTGCTTACACATCCCCAGCGGGCGTTTGCGCGAGGGCGCGGGGTTCGCGCTGCCTGGTAGGGGGCATCTAAGATCCTTGCGTAGGGCCCCCCCCCGGCCTCTCGAAGATTCATCCCTCCCAAGCCGCCCCCTCCAAACATAGTGGTAGGGGCACACATACATACATACATATATACATACATACAGACACACATACATACACACATACATACATGCATGCATGCATGCATGCATGCATGCATACATACATACATACATACATACATAAGATACAAAAAAGGTCGCCAAATCAATGCATCAACCTGCCTGCGGCGGCCCTCCTGCACGCACTCCACGAAGGCTCCCTCGACGCTTCCCAAAAGGCCGCCGCGGTGCCAGTAGTTGTGGCGCCGGCACAAAACGTAAACACCGATTGCCCAAACGCGGAGCCCCGACTGCCCTGCCCAGGAGGCGGCGCCGTCTCCCAACAGCTAAAGCGGTCGAGAGCTTGCCCACTCAAGGCGGGGGCGATCTGCAGGAAACGCCAAAACAGGTGCTGCTGGACAGGGCAAGAGGTCAGGTGTTCGATGCTGTCCTGGCGCCCTCCGCAACCGAAGCGGCAGGGCGATCGCCCCTGAAAGCGCCGACCCGCACACTGCCAATTCAACTGCTATCGGACGCAGGCCGCCAAAACGCGGGGCTGACATTGAACTGCCACCGCCGCCAAGGCCGTCTGAGCCCGAGCACGGCGACGTCCTAGCAGCAGCTGCAGTCGCCATTTGTCCAGCTGGCGTCGCCAGTGCATCAGCGCCTCCACCTTGCGCGGCGGCGCGAGGAGGAGAGCGGCTGTGCTCTGCCAGCGAGCGCGTTCCCCCCACCACTCGGGCCGCGGGCCAAGCGCCCTCCTGGCAGCACATACGCGGCTGACCGCCACAACGAATCGCAGCAGGAATGCCCAGTCACGCCAAGCCAACAACCAAACACATGAGTCGAGGGGGGCGGGCAGCGGCACGGCTTCGCGCAGGCCCCCCACAGCGCGGGCCCGCCCGCGGACGTGGAGCGCGCCTGCAGCCTCCCACTGGGCCAATCGGGCCTCGGCCGCCACGACTGTCCGC